TTTATCTATGTACAAGAATATACATAGCTACCAACCACGGTGGAAAAAACACCTGGATGTAGGAAAAAAACATTGTCGTTTTTTTTTTTTTGTTATTATTGTCCGTTTTACCCAGACATTCTTCATTCATTCATCTATATGACCGGTCGGCCATTATAAAAAAAAAAAACGCCAACCTCTTGTGATGTATATGTGTCTGTATATTTTTGTGAATGGGTGTGTGCCAACATATTCGTCAAAAAAATAAACATGAACATGAAGATAAACATGCATGCCATAGCGTTAAGAATTTCCTAAAATTTAACAACAAAATTATCATTGTGAACATGCAAAATCTGTCGTGATATTGTTTGGAATGGAGCCTAAGGGATTCTTTTTTCTATAGAAAAAATTTGTAAGTAATCTGAGGGCATCTTTTTTATAGAAAAAAATATTCCTCAGACTACTGACGAAATTTCTTCTATAGAAAAAATATTTCATCAGTAGTCTGATGAAATATTTTTCAATATAGAAAAAAATCCCACTGACTATTGACTAATTTTTTTCTATAGAAAAAGCATTCCTCAGACTGCGGACGAAATTTTTTCTATAGAAAAAGTATTTTCTTTAAAAAAAATAGTCTGAGTACATTACTTTTTATAGAAAAAGATCGTCAGAAGTATGAGGGCAATTTTTTCTATTGCAAAAAATTCGTCAGTAGTCTGAGGAATGTTTTTTCTATAGTAAAAAAGTCAGTTGTCTGATGAATGTTTTTTTTTATAGAAAAGAAATCGTCAGCAGTCTGAGGTATGTTTTTTCTATAGAAAAAATCGTCATCAAGTTCCTGAGGTTTTTTTTTCTATAGAAAAAAGTCAGTTGTCTGATGAATGTTTTTTTTTAATAGAAAAAAATCTTCAATTGGCCGAGGAAGTTGTTTTAGAAAAAAATCGTCAAGGACATTTTTTTCTATCAGGATATTTTTCTATAGAAAAAATCGTTAGTGGTATGAGAATTTTTAATAAAAAGGTCGTTTGTAATTTGAATATATTTTTCTTAAAAAAAGTCATCAGCAGGTCCCGACCAATTTTCTATATTTTAAAGATTTTTGCCACAATGTTTCACCGTCGTAAGTGTAATATGTCATTCAGGGTATTTTTTCTTTTCAGGAAATTTGAGATATAACTTCAAGCTTTCACATAGCACTCGTATAAAGGTGTATCCCCGTTTTCGGTATTTGACAACATCTTTGCAGGAGATTTTCGATGTTGGTTCACTTTTGACAAAGGCCCCATATAATGAAGGACTTTGTTATTCGATGACAAAATCTTTGTAGGAGATTTTCGATGTAGGTTAATTTTTTGACAAAGGCTCCATATAAAGAGAGACTTCGTTATTTTGCAGTTTTTCCCATCGAAGTGCATCCTTGTTGTTTAAACCCCTCATGCAAGGTTCTTTCTTCATTTGATGTATGTTATTGGACAGATCGACAAAGCCAGATCAACTCCTCTTGAAATTATTTATTTTGTTCCTATTTAAAATTATATACCGATGGCAACATAATTATTTCCTTTGAACTTTGCTGTGAACCCATGAAACGGCACTTGCATTGCGTGTCCGTCTAAATAGCAGTAGACTATGTGTAGAGTTCATTCTTGACCAGTTCATATCAACATGGCAGCAAATTGAACAAAGAAAAATAAAAACAGCAACGAATGTGTTGCCGAAACGTAATACCAAAAAAAATGAATCCCATATTCCTCATAATTGGTAACAGCAAATTTTTGGTAGTAAAATAAACTACAAATAAAAAAGAGTAGCGTGTTTCCGTAGCATTTTTTTTCGAAAACAAACTTCTTCTTCTTTTTCTCCTTCAGGCGCTATTTCCTATAAACTTTTTCAAACACGTCATTTTGTTTTGAGGCATCTTGAAAATAAATAAACCAACACAAAAATAACAACAACATATGAAAAAAATCTACATAAAATATTCTACAAAAAATTTAAAGAAAGCTCAACAAATCGTAAGACGAAGATACACAAAAAAATATGGAAGCAAAAATTGTGAATGAAATAAAAAACGAAGTTATTTTTTTATAATTCTTACTTAATTTAATTCAGGTAGAAAATATGCTATCTTAATTGTCCATACCACCCTAAAGCTATTGGTGGAAGAAGAATACAAAAAAAGAACTGAAAATAAAAAACTTGAGCCACAATTATAATGGCAACAACAATAAATATAAGTTATTTTGCCCAAAAGGAAATGATTTTTAAAATGGTCGACAAAAAGGTCCAACCCAAAGACGTTATAAAGAAAATGTAAATGTTGGATATTTTAAATAATGAATTAACCCATTGTGGAATTGATAATTTTCGATTATATGATAATAAAAATCATAAAATATGAAAAAACGTCGGAAAGTTCGAAAGTGATGAAATTTTAATACCATCTACCATCTGGTGTGGAGGGTATAAAAATGTCGAGCGAATTTTGTGGCGAAATGCGGTTAACCCATTTGGACATATGCGGGTTCATTTTCAAAAATCGACCTATTTTTAATATTTTATGCAAATATGTTTATCAAACTTCGGAACGCCAAGATACAGTAAATTTTCTGGGAAATGAGGCTTAAACATTCGATATAACGATGGGGCCACGGATTGACATACTTCGAAATTGTTCTGTAGATATATTTTTTTCACCCTTCAGGAAACATCAATTGTAAATTACAGCTATTTCAATCGGAAGACTACAACCTTTAAAACCGAAATGATGCGGGACCCTTAAATGAGAGCTGTAACAACAAGTGGGCCCATATTGATAATATTTGGTATAAAGATTGGAACAGGCGTGGATTTTTTAAATATTTTTGAAGGACATTAGTCCGAAAAGGTTTTTTTTTTTTGTAATATATATTTCAAGGACTTAAGACACCAAAATATATAATAAAACTTGACAGAGATCGGCCTAGCTAAGGGTCTTTAGTGCACTATTTTCTTAAAATCGAGCGAAACTATGTATAGGAGCTTTATGTAAATCTGAACCGATTTCAAGAAAACTTGAAACACGTGAGGTCAAACTTTGGGTCTTTAGTGCACAATTTACTTTAAATCGGACGAAAATATATATGGGAGCTATATCTAAATCTGAACCGATTTTCACGAAACTTAACATATGTAAGTCTAGACTCAATTCAATGCGCTACACCAAATTTCGTGCAAATCGAAAGATATATAGGGACTTTGGTGCACCATTTACATAAAATCGGGCAAAAATATATATGGGAGCTATATCTAAATCTGCACCGATGTTCATAGCACATGTCATTCTGGACCTAATTCAGTACCCTATCCCAAATGTCGTGCAAATTGAAAAATATATATAGGGACTTATGTGAGCTATACCTAAATCTGACCCGATTTCCTCGAAACTTAACACACATCATTCAGTACGATATGCCAAATTTCGTGCAAATCGAAAGATATATAGGGGCTTTGGTGCACTATTTACCTCAAATCGGACGAAACCATATATGGGAGCTATATCGAAATATGAACCTATTTTCACGAACCTTAACACATATCACTATAGACTCAATTCAGTACGCTATGCCACCACCATTTATCTCAAATTGGACGAATATATATATGGGAGCTATATCTAAATCTGAACCGATTTTCACCAATTTCAATAGGGTTCGCCCTTGGGCCTGTGTAACCTGTGCCAAATTTTATCCATATCGGATCATAAATGGGACCTGTACTTTGCTTACAATTTAACATCTACAGACGGACGGACATAAATCGACTCAGAAAGTGATTCTATGTATATTCTCAAAAGGAACCATGTGTTTATATCGTTTCCTTTTGCTTGTTACAAACGTGCATATGTATAAAGACATAATACCCTGTACCATAGTCTGGTTAAGGGTATACAAATTTTTGGGGATTTTATACTTTTTCTAATATTTTTAGGCATCAAATACACCCCTGTATTGTCAAACCAGTGAGCGGAGCAGTCGTATGGACGCGTCCGACCATACGATACCCTACACAACTACCAAAGAACTCTATCTTTCTGCAGATTTTTATTCCGAACCTGGGTAATATTTCGTGATAATATTGACCGATATTTATCAAAATAGACATGATTATTCTTTGGCCCGATCCCCTTCTCCATGTAAAACAGATGTTCGGACCGTAACTGCGGCCTCTGGAGCGACCAGAAAAACCGACAAAAAGTAAGTATTTGGTCCATTTCATCTCCTAAATATTAACCGATCTTTACCAAAAACAATAGGGGTCTTAATTGGGCCGAACCCATCCTACATTCAAAATTTCGTGAAGATTGGTCCATAACTGTGGCCTGTATCGTGTTTACAAATTATAATAGACAGACGGACGGACACACATGTCTAGATCGACTCAGCTAGTGGAGATATGACGATCGGTATACTTAAAGGACCAATATTTCGCGGCGTTACAAAGTCTTGGGGCTGCACAAAGCTATAATACCCTCACAACATAGTTGTGCAGGGTATAAAAATAAAGAGGATCTGTTATATAGGGACTTAATCTAAAGTTGACTTTTTTGTTGATAGATTTTCTATCCGATGAAAATACGCAGAATATAAAAATATGAGTAAAAGCAATGCTACATTTTAAAGTTGTTTCTTAAATATTGCGAACTCTATCGTTAGTTCACAAGTGCCGATTTTTAGAGCACTAAATTTTTTTCTTGGAAATCCCGGTTACTATAAATTATTAATTATTGATGTATAAGTTGAAAATTTAGACCGTATTAAAGTAGTATTAATACAGATGCTCATAGCAGGATCATATATTTTCAATGTTTTTATATATCTCGTTTTTATTTGTTGTTTTTTATTTCATTTCAAATATTTTTTAAATATTATTAATTTTTTTTGTCACATAAAAATGAATGCATTATTTCTTATTTAAATATTTCTTGCCAATTAGTTATTTCCGATTTAAAAAAACAGCACATTTCTTTTACTTACTTATGGCATTATCAGCTGCAAAGAGAAGAACGAAAAACGTAACATTAAAATATTAGTTTTCTTTTTTTAACAAATGTCTTAATTTTAAAACAGTTAAAAGAAAATCTCATAAATTTAGTGTGCTTAAATAACCAATAAAATAATGGTGTTGAGAACAGACAACGTCTTTGGCGTTTGTTGTTTTTACGATTTACCGGTGTGAATGTCCTTCGCGTAAAATATTTATGTAAATGTGTCTATATGTATGTATATAGCCCAATCTGAATCACCTTTAATAGGAAGTGAAGAAAAAATTTGTTGAAATCTATAAATTTTTCGTGACTTTATTACAAACGTCGTTTTGATATATAGAATCTCGCTGTGTGTGTGTGGGCGGTTGTAAGCACTCACTTACATACACACAAATTGTATATTTGTCTGCTGACATGTTAAAAGTCCATAAAAATTGCTTATAAATGTTCTATGGAGGTATTTTCTTGTGGTTTGTTTCTTTATTGCAATGTCTCGCGATTTATGCTATTCTGATAGGAAGGTGAATACAGTGAGAGATAATATTTAAAATAATTCTTATGCATAAAACTAGCATTTAGCGTGTAAATATATTCCTTAAAAATACGAGGTCTATTACATATATTATATGGGAGCTATATCTAAATCTGAACCGATTTTCACGAAACTTAACATATGTAAGTCTAGACTCAATTCAGTGCGCTACACCAAATTTCGTGCAAATCGAAAGATATATAGGGACTTTGGTGCACCATTTACATAAAATCGGGCAAAAATATATATGGGAGCTATATATTTTTATCTAAACCGATTTTCACGAAACTTAGCACACATCATTCTGGACCTAATTCAGTACCCTATCCCAAATGTCGTGCAAATTGAAAAATATATATAGGGACTTATGTGAGCTATACCTAAATCTGACCCGATTTCCTTGAAACTTAACACACATTGTTGTTTTTACGATTTACCGGTGTGAATGTCCTTCGCGTAAAATATTTATGTAAATGTGTCTATATGTATGTATATAGCCCAATCTGAATCACCTTTAATAGGAAGTGAAGAAAAAATTTGTTGAAATCTATAAATTTTTCGTGACTTTATTACAAACGTCGTTTTGATATATAGAATCTCGCTGTGTGTGTGTGGGCGGTTGTAAGCACTCACTTACATACACACAAATTGTATATTTGTCTGCTGACATGTTAAAAGTCCATAAAAATTGCGTATAAATGTTCTATGGAGGTATTTTCTTGTGGTTTGTTTCTTTATTGCAATGTCTCGCGATTTATGCTATTCTGATAGGAAGGTGAATACAGTGAGAGATAATATTTAAAATAATTCTTATGCATAAAACTAGCATTTAGCGTGTAAATATATTCCTTAAAAATACGAGGTCTATTACATATATTCCTGGCCTAGGCTACAGTTAGTTTTGCCAGACCAAAAAAATTATATTTTCAATGAAAAATTTTAAATTTTGTAGCAAAAAAACGTACTCAGTTCGATTTGGCGTACGGAAATGTGTTGTGTTACTTGCGGTGACTTAAAATTGTCAAAATATGGAATTACTGGTGATCGTTATCGTGTGATAATTTTTCACAACAAATTCAAGATCATTATGTGAAGTACCGTGGGATAGAGGTACACTCGAGCATTTCTTCCACCAGATATATTTCGATTTTACATAAATACATGACCTTAAAAAAGGGTTGTCCACCTTGGATAAAAAATATTCAGACCAAGGAAATTCGAAAAAGATCGATCATCAATGAATCATATATGCATATGGCGGTCTAAATCCAACTATTGTAGTTCATGGAAGAAGCACATAGAAATGATCGCCCGTTTCTCCGACAAATTGGACATGTGGCGACTGTTCGCTTGATCAACGTAGGACAATGAATTATGAACTACTGCTGCACAATTTAATTGCCTGAATACTTTGAAGAAAATTTAAAAAGGACATTCGGAGCAGTGTAGTCGGACGGGGCCGACCATACACAACTTCCACGAAAAACTAACATTCTGTGGATCTATATTCTGAGCTTGGGCAATATTTCGTCATAAGCACCTGTAAATATTTAAGTGTAACTCCCACATCTGAGTACATACGATCATATAATTGGTATCAATTTAAAGGTCAACCACTGCCCTTGGATATACCAACAACTTTTCGGGTCTATGTCCTTCAGGGGTAAATCTATACGCAATAGAATACAAATTTTGTAATTTTTCACACAAAAGTCAGGGTTCATTAGAACCGCTAAATATTGACCGATCCTTATCAAAAGAGGATCCCCTTCTCTATGTATGGCCCGATCCCCTTCTCTATGTAAAAATTCGCGATGTTTGGGTCATAATTGTGGCCTCTAGAGCCAAAAACCGAAAAAAATTTAGTATTTGGTCGATTTCATCCCCTAAACATTAAGCGATCTTTACCAAAAACAATAGGGGTCTTCATTGGGCAGAACCCATCCTACATGCAAAATTTCGTGAAGATTGGTCCATAATTGTGGCCTGTATTGTGTTTACAAATTATAATGGACAGACGGACGGACACACATGTCTAGATCGACTCAGCTAGTCGAGATATGAGGATCGGTATACTTAAAGGCGGGTCTATGACCAATATTTCGACTCGTTACAAACTCTTGGGGCTACACAATGCTATAATACCCTGACAACATAGTTGTGTAGGGTATAATAAGGCGAGAACTTTGTACGGATCCCATTTTTAACATGGAACGTGGAATGTGTCGACTTCGGTGACAAAATGCTTCATAAATACCGATTATGGAGCGGGACCTACATATATAGCGCCTATGTTAAATCGTTAGCCAATATTGACGATTTGCTGCATCGATGTTTCCAAGGATCTGGAATGTCAAATTACAGCCTCTTCGAATAGTGAATACCGAAAATTGGGCGGAATCATAATATGAGGGGCATATAAAAAAATTGACTTATATTGAACGTTTAAAGTTGAGGGAAAACACGCCGAAGATAATAAAAATATATAAACTTGCTGGAAATATTGTATAGGTACTATTACAAAACTTATATCCCGAATTTTCTACTGACACTTCGGTAGCAAAATATGACTAAACCTTTAAAACACGGAAAATGCAGTAACTTCGATGGCAAAATACGCCTTCAACCTTTAAAATACCGTAAATGAACCTAGAACTTTATGTGGGGCCTGTAAAAGCTTTCAAAACACTGATAAATTGATGGGATATTTATTTGAGTACTATATCAAAATATGGACCTATATTGAGCATTTTTCTACGAAGAAATAATGTAACCGTAACGAATCCGGAATACCAAATTACAACCACTTCATCTGGAAATGCATCCAGGACAAACAAAATACCAAAAAATGAGCCCATATTGAAAATCTTCTGCAAATATATATTTTTCCTTCAAGAGGAATGCGGATAAAACCTTTAAAATGTCAAATTGACCAGAAATTTTATTTCAAGTCATGGAAACACCAATAAAGAGTCTGGAGAGAATACCAAAGTACAGACACTTTTGTTGAAAAAAATATTGATAACGAATTGTCAGCAAATTCTAATCGGAAATATAAAATTGCCGCTAATTTAGTAGAAAAGTATTCTCAAACCCTCCAAATAACGATGTATGATTATATGGGGGCTATACCAATACGTAGGCTAATATAACCAATTTTCAATAACAAATTACCTTAGTATCTATTTCAAATATTGCGAACTCTATTGTGATTTAAACAGACAGACTTGACTAAATTGATAAAGAATTTTATGCCGACTAAGAATATATACGGGATATACGAAGCAAAGCATTTTTTTTGCCCTTTAAGAATTCGGAATGCAAATTAAACCCACTTCGGTTTGAGAATGTGCCTACGATCCTGAATATATCCAAAATTCGTAGAGAAGGAAATTCCATGAAGCATGAATGCCAGAATACTGTTCTTCTGATACAGATCGAGGCTTTGCAAATGGAATGACAAATTTAATATATACTACACAAGAATAACTCGGATTCACCTTTAACAATTATATTTAAAAATTAATGCTTATCTTTTCAACATTTTTTATCTAAAATTCATATTTATACTTCTGATATTGTTTTCAAAAATATATTTTATTAAAATCCCGCTATCTATGATATTCCTTTTGAAAATATTCTGAAAAAATACCCTCTTATTTAGTTGCGATATTCCATACCTTTCCTGGTATTTTTCTGAATAACTATCCCAGAATCGGTTTCGCTATGTCTCTAAGTGAAATGCATAAATAAGAAAGCAGTGAATATTTTTTTCCTATCTATCCTCCCATTCGACTCAATGAATTTGAAAATATTTTCTCAATGCAACCACAAAAAATAAAAAGGCAGCGGCGAACACACCTTTACAGAATTCGATTACAAAGAAAATGTTTAGATACCAAACCTCCACCACCCCTCTACACAATATTCCACAAGGCACGACACTATGAAGATACTTCACAAATTCTACCTTTTGAAAAAAGTGAAAAAACAACGAACTTCAAAAACGGAAGCCATGGCAAACGGCTCATGTTATTTAAGTTTCCTGTCATTTCAAGCGCCAGCATCCTTAACGGATATAAAAGGCATAACTCGCAAAACCGGAACGTCAGGGCCACGGTGGTGTCTATATGTATGTATGTGTGAGTTGGTGCGATACTTGCATTACCCATTGCCTGGAAAGTGAAGTGTGTCTCTGGCTGTGTGCTTGTGCAAAACACCCATAAATTCTTGAAATTGTGTTAGAGATATGCAAAATATATATTTTCCTCTTCGTCTTCTTCATCGTCGCTCCTGTTTCAAAATCTTGGGAAAGAGACAAAAAAGCAAAAAAACTTCAACCTTTGTATTGTTCTCAGTGCTCAAAATGTTTGCCATAATAAATATGAATCAATATATATTTTTAACCAGTGAGCGGAGCAGTATAGTCGGACGGGGCCGACCATACGATACCCTACACAACTACCACGAAC